CGTAGACACAAAAGAAAACGAAAAATAAACAAAATAAAGGTTTTGTGTGGTGTGAGAACTATTGCTGAATCAAAGGTATCTGAGCGTCAATATGTCTGTTGCTGGGTTAGGGCTCCTTACATAAAATGAAAGCACAAAAACGTCGGAATAAATCGCAGCGAGAGGAAAAATGGATGTAATAGGTGCAGGACGCATGCGTCGTCCGCTGTCTCCCATGGCCTGCAAAGTGCTGGACCTATGTCCCACGCTGTCCAATGTGTTAAATGACTAGTATAGGGAAATTTACAGGATTCTTCGGATAGTCGCGTCCTCTGTAATCAGCTGCAATCTACAAAATTTCATGCATGAGAATTCGATTCGCGAAATGAATTAAAACTCCTAAAACCACACTCTGGGGACGGTTTTTTACCTTTGTGCCAAGCCAAGGGGTCGCATAAGGATAAAGTACGTGATGGTGCGGCCACGTGTAAATAAACGGTAAGAAGGAATTGGATTTAAGTTGCCTAATTCGAAGAGTCAAGACAAATCGTTTTAGCGTGATAGATTAGGATGCAATTGAAGATGTGATCTTGTCAGGGGGGGGGGACGAGGAGGAATAAACGATTCTAAAGTGATGGCTTTCTAAGAGAAAAATGGAAGCGTTTCTGCCAACATTTGAGGCGGTTTCATGGCGGAAGTTTCAACAAGGAATGATTTTCTTACTTATTCTGGTTATTACCGAAACCGACGCAATTTTTCACTAGTTTCGTAATTGAGAGATTGTAAAGCCCGATTGAGGAGGAAGATTAAGCCATGCGTCCTCCGTAGAAGTTCCTTCAATGAATCATAATATTTATAACTCTTCATAGCACTAAAAAAAATCTTGTTTCATCAAATTTGCACTTTCTCACGTGTCTCTAAGGTGTGTTTCATTAGTAAACAATGATCTATAAATCTTGGGAAGTGCTCAGTAGGTGAAGGCGATCGCCTCCTGGTGTACATGGTGCACCACGCAAATGAAGTCAGTTGTGTGTTTTCAATCAATACAGTAATTATTCAATAACTAAGCAGTAAGCATTTTCAAGCAGGCCTGAATAGTTTTTGATTCTGTTCCTTGAATTCGATGCTTTAGGTGATCCCTAACTACAGAAAACCTTTGGTGGTGGTTGCGCCGAAGATCCTTCTCCGACATTCGAAGGTGAGTGCATTTCTGTTTCGGTCTTCCACCATCTCGAGATTGCTGAAAAAAATGAAATAAAGCCTAATAAGCCTAGAGAGGTAGGGATAACATAGCTATTTAGTTAGCTAGTTAGTTTCGTGGAGAAGCTTATATATAATGCTGCTATCCCGGGGTGATTCGAAATGGTGTCAATGATCGTATCCTTTCTTCTTTTTGCTTAAGTCGCCGTGACACTCAAGCTCGTTAACCTGGTAAATGCGTCTTCGCCTGTTGCCCATTGTCTGTAAAAACCCGCGTGTCAGAGAAAAGGTTATTTCTCGGAGTGCGCTCTTATATTAGGTGGTTCTCTTAATCCTGATCATTCTTCTTGCTATGAAATACGATGTGAAAGAAATGGAATACAAACCGGTTGCATGTAGAGAATCTTCTTTTAAGTTCGAATTATTTTTTTTGCCTTTTTGACGATCTTTAGAGCATTTGTTCAGTCAATCAATGAAGAATACATGAGGTAAATATTTTCCGTGTCTTGGATGCTACCATTTTTTCTACTTTTGTAGTAGAAATTACGCTGCGCAATGAAGAAACTTGTTTCGCAGAGCTAATTTTTTTGGCAATTAGACGTTTAGAAGAATATGGCAGAATAATGTACTGAAATCGGCGCTGTTTTGAGATAAACGAATGACAATCTTTTTGGGCTATGGGATAGCCTGGAAGCAGGGTCAACCCTACGTTGGTACAAGTACCAAGGGGGGTCGTACTTGCTCGGTAGCACGAAATCACGAATTACATGTGATGAGGTGAGAGCGCGCGGAGAAAATGTTGCCGTTCAGCGTGCGTATTACCCCTCCCCCCCCGCTCGACGGTGTTTTTTTTGAGGGAAAAAGTGGTTGTGAAGAGGGGGTCGTATGAAACTTCTCGTGAAGGAGGGGGGTCGTAAAAATTTTGCAAAAAGTACCAACGATAGGACCGACCCTGCGAGACCCTTCATTCCAATTCAACTCTTTCACGATCATGTCAACTGGAGTGAAGTGGCCCACGTAGGAACACCAGCGAACATCTACACGTCGTAAGAGCATCTCTCCACACACTCTTCTCTTCCCCTTGCTCTACATATTATCGCGTGGATTGTGCTCGGTCAATGTAGTTAATGTGGTGGGAATTGGCTCGCCGTTTGTTTGGTGCGCGTCAGCGGATCATCGTATCTCATTGTGCTGGAGCGGTGGTGTTCTTCCTGTTATTGCGGAAGAGCCGTTCCCGATGAACCCTGGGCTGAAGATGGTTTTGGCCTGCACTGGTGCCACTGCTACTCGACGGCACGTGTCAGATCAAAGTGGTACCGCCCTAGTCGTTTCTTTTTCATTGACGCCTTTGTCCAGACCATAGAAGCACGGCTGTCCGAATGGAGAACAGAGAAGACAACAGGAGAATTGCTTTTAAGGGCTGCCGATTGATTGAGATAGCGGTAGCGGCTTTGGTAGAAGTTTGAAATGTGACTTAGGCGAAGAGGTTGAGTTGTGTGGTAAGTACTTCCTACTATGTGGTGTGCTTTTATCTAGCTATGATTCATCAGGGAAAAGTGGCAAATTGGGTGACACCATGCTGAATGGTTTTCGTTTGAACATGGCTACCCACAAGGTGTGTACCTTACATGGGAGCGTTTTGCTGTTTCAAGTGGAGTATCATTTTTGTAAGGGCACGGTAACCCGACTGTTCGTCATGCAAATAAGAGTGGAGAGACTAGTCAAATCAAGAAGATAGGCCCGAAGTCGTATGAGTCAGCGGCCCTAATTATTGTTTAATGACGCTGAACTGATAAGGATTCATTCTGGAGTGTGTTATTTGAAAATTGAGAACAACAGTTTAGTTGGCAGAAACATGAGAATATCAAAGACGTTGGTCGTTGGTTAGCATTGTATACTGTTCCACTCGAATATAAAGTAAGATACTGAAGAGGAAAAAAACGAGGGAAACCATAGAAGTCACTGGAATCGAGATGCTTTTAAGTTCGGTGTTTCCTATAAATTCTCTTGCTATTTTTGATTCTCCTGAAAGGTTGACCGTGGTACGAGAGGGAAGCACAGCTCGAGGAGAGGAGGTCAAAATGAAGGAGCATGTCGAATGAGAGGGCGCAGACACCTATGCTGTGAACGAGTAAAAATGGTGGCAGGGCAGTTACCGCGAAAGCGAACCTGCTACAGTTTGACAGAGCAAAACCGCTTCTGCAACGATCTTCGGCGACCCGTGTCTTCATCTTCCCACCGCCCTCCCCCCCAATCCTTCTCCTTGTTCTCACCCGCCCCCCCCCCAGCCGCTACCTCGGCGTCACCCAACCGCCAGCTCGGCTTCCACTTCTCCGTCCACATTCTCTACCTCCCCCCCCCTCTTCCCCGCCCCCGCTCCGCCCCCCTCCCACCCATCTAAGTCCCGTACCAAAGCACACAATACTCCCTCCACCTCTGCATCCCTCCCGATAAGTAAAGGGGACATACTACGTGTAAAATGTTTTTTCTGATACTCGAATCATTTCGCCTTTGCCGAGCGCAACTTTTCAACCCGCCCGTTCGGCCTTTGTGGCCGACGCTCGATTGCAAAGACACGGTCCTGGCCACGTTTATTTCGCAGTCGAGACACATGATTGCGTGTGTAAATTTAATATTTGCGCTCTTAAAAATCATCTGTGTAGACGGGTCTACCCCGTGCCATTTCACATGCTCATACCAATTACGCACTAAAGGTCATGAGGAGTTTTGCTTGAGACCATTTACGTTTTCACATCATTCGCTACAAAATATTTGCCAGTGAGTTGTTTCTGGCCCAACTGAATTCCCGAGTGACTTTCGACTATTGCGCGTTACTTTTTCTAATTTTCCCGTTACACATATTGAGGCTCTTCTTGGTGAATGCGCTATGAGGTTTGTGCCTCACGACACGAACTTATCCTTCGGTCTCCTATACTTTCCCTCCATCTCACTGATTATCCACCCGAGCTGCAAACTTCCAAAGAGGACGGCTACCTAGGCGCGTCGCCGACTCACCGCAGTGAAAAGGTTGTCTTTTGTGTCTAAAAGATTACTGTAGTTTTTGAGTAATAGCAGCTCCCTCCCCACCACGGAATTTACCTGCGGCTCACAAAGTGCCTACTGCCCTGTTAACTTCTCGTTGATTGACTAGTCTTTCTCAATCTTAAATAAGGACGAAGCTATTCGTCTATTTTGTTGAGTTCGCGCTCTGAACGCCCCCCCCACCCCCCCCCCCCCCTTCTCAGCCAACCGCGTCGACCTCACCCCTCCCACAGTACCCACCCCTCGCCTAAACCCCACCTGCCACAGCGCTCTCACCCAAGGCTTGCGACCAGGCGCGCGTAGAGGTGATTTACTATCCCGCCGCGTGCCCCCACCTCGACCTTCGTCGTGTGGCCTTTTTGCTTCATTGCTTAGGAGACTTAATCTCGATAAGGGCAGAGCAGAGATCTTGCATACCCGTTCTACAACCCTATCGACCTTCGATGATAGACACTCCACTTCCATTCAAAAGCTAGACATGTTAGGCCACAGATCTGTTGATGTGACTTTTAAAATTTGATGTATTGCGTTTATATCCCAGCTTTATCCTTCCATTTTTAGGTGATCCTCACCAGTGGCAAGCACTGGATCGCAGTCGAAAAAGAACGTGACGAGCGTGGTCTTAGAGATACGGTAGCGATAATTCGTCTCGAGAGCCTTTGTCCCTTCCCCGTGCAGGATCTGCGGGAAACACTTCAACGGTATCCGAAGGCAACGAGTGGGTTTTAGCAGTGTACCTTACATGGTCAACAAGTTCTTTTTTTCAATAATACCATTGAAATCAGAACGTATAATGTCAAAGGTATGCTAACCCGGGAGTATGTCAGGTTTCCGATCACCTAGGGTTCTCTTATTAGAACATCTACGATTTGCTGGTAATTTTTAAAAAAGAACCCCTTTAAAAACAATGTCTGTGCGACGCACCACCCCAATTGACCGTTTAGTGACCCGGCTTAGGTGCTTAGATGGTATCAGTAAACACTATGGCCACGGCTCCAGTGGGCCAGCTGTGTTTTGGCGCTTGAGATCACTTGAGAATAGCAGTCGAGTGAGTGGAGTCGCCTTTCATGATTTGTTCGCGGACGCATGGGTCTCCACTTCTTCAACGATCTGTCCGCCGGATTGTATGTCTGCGTCGTCGCGCAGCGTCGAGAGATACGGTCACCCGAATTTCTGTCCTAGCGTGCGCAGGTGCTGGTGCCGTTTTACGAGGTAATGAAAGGAGCTTAACAGCTCCGAAGACGGTGATCGTAAAAAACGCGAATAGCGTCGCCGACGACACCTGAGCGGCCTTGAAAAGCAGAGAGCAGAAAGTGATGACAGGCGGAAGCCTCGGTACTGTAGCGCAGAAACTACTGTTCGCCAGTTTTTTTTTTCAGAATGCATACGGAGCATGCTAAGGTTTCTGAAAGTATGTTAGATCAGCACGCGGTAGCTGACGTCTCAAAAAGGAGAGTTAGGGACAGCTCATTAGTCAGAGGTCTTGGAAATTAAGCAGACACTAGCCTGATGTGGAGCACCGGGTCCTGTCTGAGGATTGCGAGCCGCATTGGGAGTAAGAGCTACATTCGGTAAACCAATCCTTCCATGCTTTTGGAGTAGTTCGTAGGAATCTTGAAAAGTTTCAAACGTTCTGTTGTATTGCATTTGCTAGCACAGAACATGCTTGACTTTTACTTTCGTGTGAGAGTATTCTCGCATTAATCCCAAACAATCCGCTTGGAAGAGCGATCTGACTTGTTTGATTAGAAGACAAAACATAATTTGTTGCTACTGATGCGAACGAGTTTATGAGTTCGAAAGAGTTCATCAATTCAATGAAAGGGCTTGATAATATGCTGGAGCCCTTCAGCAGTAGCTTTTGATAGAATCGCGGTTGTGAAGCAAATTTTGAATGGACGCTTGACTTGCTCACTTGATCTTCGGGTGATTTATTATGGTGGCAACCCGTGTACCAATAGGTGGTTTCTTCGGGGTCAGTGTGACTGCAGTATGTTCATTTTGGAAGTGATAGTTGTTATGTCCTTGCAATTTTCTCGCTATTTTCCACCTAGTTTGTGTTCCTAAATACGACTGTGGCAGTCAGCGTGTGGTCCTATACCTCATTTGTATAAACTTCGTGAGTGTAGATTACCATCTGACTTCCAAGACTTATCAGAATTCAAGCAGTCGGAAAGTCTAAACTGGCTGGACTAATTGGATGCAGGAACATGAATGAATTACCGGCGGTCTGTGTAACGACAAAAAGTCATAAATTCGCCTGAATTTGTGGTAATGTGGGGTGATTCTGTTTGCGACTGACCCGATTTCTCCCCGACTGAGTGATCAGCGGCTTTTGTGTCAATTATGCAAATGAGTTTCGTGTCGGCACGAAAATGCATAGTGATGAGCAAGTCTGGCACTATCTGACCATGCTAGGAGGGTTGCTGCCAGCCCTGCCTATAGGTTCTGATGGTATTGTGTAGGTGTTATGGTTCAGAGATGAACTGGTCAGCCGCGGGTAGTAAATGTTAGCATACCATGCCCTAATACTAGATTGAGTTGACTACGTTTCATCTAAAACCTCGTGTTTCGTCAGATTAACCCAGGCTCAAGCAGCGCTTTGAGCAAATTTTGAGTCGGTACGACCTCCTCCGCACCCTTCCCCTAATTTTAGGAGCACCTTAAGTTCTCGCGACTGCATTAGCTGATGATATCGTCTTACCACGGCCGCGGTTGAACGTTGTTCGGAATATTTTTGGGTCCTATCTGGCTGTCTGGTCTTATCTCTACCGGTATGCTAGCGCACCTAGACTGATTCAGCGACTGGCATTGATCTACCCAGAAAATGACCGAAGCTTGTCGCTTTTGCAAGTTTATAGAAAAGTTAGAAGAAGCCAGCTAACAAACTCATCCAGTCGTGTTGTCGCTGTGGTGTTCACTATCGAAGAGATAAGAGCTCGACCAGCAGCGTGTGGCCTAATGAGTTAGACATTTCAACATTTTTTTTTGTCCCGTAACGACGGCTCTCCCATCCTTCTTAATCAAGCAATCATGGCGTACGTTTAGTGTGTTTATTTGAGAAAGGTGTTATCAAACGGCGGTAAACGTGCCGTTCAAAGCCACCGACAACCAACGACCGGCAAGAGGTTACGCACACATGGTGCGATTGCGTGAGGTGTTCTCTTTTTATCAGCGTCTGTGCCTGCACCCGAATGATACGATAGCGGTATGACGCAATAGCAGATCATGTCAGAGTAGC